GGTTGCTACATTGGTTGTGTTTTGTTGCTTTCCGGTGCCCTCCGAGGGGTAGTCTCTCAGATGATGCCGGGTTAGCAGAGTCTTGCTAGACTGGCAAAGGCCAGGCATACTTCAACTTTCTTGGTTGCTGTCCATGCCCTGTATACTGCAGGGGCCTGAATCATGGGTCATACTGTTGCGGATCCCTCATACTTACACATTAAACCTTCTTACACCCCCAGAAAAAGGAAAAAGGATGCTGTAAACCCTACATTAGACACCTGCATAGCATGAGAAGAGAGGAGAACGAAATTGAGCAAGCCGGCGGCAGCGCGGCCCAGGTGTGGGGCCCATGGCCCAAGCTTCAAAAGACTACAAGTTAGGTCTCCCAGTGGTACGCACAGTGCTATAATAAGCAGACGAACAATACGTAAGTTCAGCATCTGCGGCCGTAAGAATGGTAATAGCCACGAATAGGGACAGTAAACGTAATGACAGTGTTGGCAGCAAGTTAAGTAGATAGCAAGTTGAGAACCATCCACATATTATCGGGATCCTAATGTTGAGGCGTGCAAGGAAAGCAACTGAATAAGGAGTTTCTTTGAAGGGGTCTACATCCGTGTCTGCGAAACATGTTATGGTGTTGTAGAGTCTCGCTTGGGCCCATCTGGAGCCCTTCAGGTCCAGTACGTGTTGGGCGTAGGAAGCTCAGAGACTCCAAAACCTTCGCGTGTTATGGATTCTTGAATTGCGCTGACCCTTCACCCAGATCATGTAAGTCGCATTCCTGATGGGTTATTGGGGTCGGGGAGTATTCAACTTGCGAGAGCCTCTTGATTTCAGGAGGTTTTCGATTTCCGTATGTTCTAGAAGCGGATCGTGCAAGATGCTAGGGTTGGGCGGGTTGAGATATCTCTTTTGTAATAGTAGCCCATACTCTCAACCAACTTTTTGAGAGTAGATTTTTTGGATGTAGGGTTTCTCTTATGAAGAGGGTCAACTTCCGTGAATCTAGAATGGTGGGCATGAGTATTCTGGTTGTAGCGGTGGAGCCCTGGGCCCTGAACCCTGCATCCCTACAGCCCTACCCCAACTTAGTGCTCCTGTCTACGGGGAGCACAAGGTTCTCCAAATCCTCAACTTGGTCGTTCCTTAACCAACCAAGTCGGAGTTCGATTGTTGCCAAGCTCAAGGGTCACCGAAGTGAACATGAGCATGATATGCAAGTACAGGGGTTCTATGCGGGTTTCTCGATCCTTATTCATATGTTTGTTTGTTTGGGGTGTCCAGGAACCCAGTACCCTAAACTCCTCAACCATGCCCTAATTGGCCCTAATTCCGAATGCAAAAGCCGAGCCTTAACTGCCTGACACATCGAACCTCGGAGTGGTGTCTTACCGCGTTGTTGTTGCCAGGCGCAGATCAACCAGACGCGCTTGGCAAGGCGCCACAGAGGGATTCGGATTTTGGGGCCTGGTTTAGGAAGGGATGTTGGAAGTGCGTTTTTGTTAGGACAGACCTTCGGAATTAAAGCTTTCGGAGTTGTTTTGGAAAGTTCCATGGTTTTGGCAGCGTCAGCGTGTATGATATGGAGTGTCGGCCTCAATGTTTCAATGCCGATCCTGGGTTCATGGTTGGATACTGCTCCCACTCAGTAACAGTTGGATAGTATTTATAATATAGACATATTAGGACCTTAATAGTAGCCCTATTATAGACTGTTACTGTATGGGGGCAGTATCCAAGTTCATGGTTTCAGGTTACAGACCCCGAGTCGCGCGGTTTTTTCTAGGTTGGATTGTGTGATTGTGTGCCATTGTTCATTTTCCTTATTTGGGTTTATAAGGGACCCTATATATACACATATATATATATATATATATTTTTTTTTTCAGGGTGTTTAAAGGCCAACCTTGTTTTGTCGACTCGGGGTTTTGCTGCTGTAGCGAAGAATGCATGGGGGCTGTAACTGTAGGGTTCATAGTCTCATTCCCGCTGTTGGTTCCACCGCCCATGCTGACTTGGTTGATTTCTCGTGACTCCCTTGATATGTAAAGCCTGACTCTTCAGTTCATTGAATGGGAGCCTAGTTGGTACAATGACTTCGGAAATGGCTGGGTTGTTGTTAAATAGTAACTAGTATGGTTTCACATTATGGCCACTTAAGATAATTACTTTGACAAGAACCCAGATTGCCTCTCGGTTCCTTCACAACTCGAACCCGAAGGCCCGGCAGCAATCCCGAAAATTCTGGTCCCTGATGAGTTCTATTCTCAAGCGGCAGTGATTAGGGTTCGGGGTGCTGACTTATGTGTTAGGGTCTGTAGGGCTTGTTAAGTTCGAGTGTAGGGTTGTAGCACATGCTTCCTTCGTCTAGGGCCTTCACCATACACTAAATTATCCACCAACAGCTACTACAGCTCCTGGTCTATATGGGTGTTTCCGAAAATAGGGGACCCCAATATAGCACCCTAAATAGTAGGACCCCTTTTATAAGTATTCCAAAATAAGTTACCCCCCCCCCCCCCCAATTTTCGGAAAAAAAACCCATATATTCTTTGAACATCAGATCCCAAAAGCTTAAAACCAGGGTAGACTCCACGCCTCCCCCTTGCCCCGAACAGCCCGGGCCCTGAACCCTTGAGGATCCTTGAGGCCTCTAGGCTTTCAATATAGGATCTAGGACCTAGAGTAGGCCCTTATTCCCTTTTTTGGGGGTTCAGGTTCCCTTATAAGCCCCTTTAAACCAAAAAGGGCACCCTTTTTATTCCTAGGCTACTCTCGGGTCTAGGGATTTAGGGGTTCAATATCGGGCTTAGGCTTTTCATACAGGGTTCGTTTAGGCTTTAGGGTTTCATTCCGGAACTTCCGGCTGCAATTCCTAAACTCTCAGTCCCTACGCAGCTTCAAGCCCTAATTAACCCTGATCCCGAAACGAACCCACCAAAATCCCTAAACCCACTACGGGCCTTGTTTGAAGCCTGAGAGGTCTGTGGCCCTGAGCCAGTCGCAGATGCCCGCGCTACTTTCGCGGATCAGGCCAGCTCCTGCCCAAATTGTGGACCAGAAACCCTAAGTCCCACCTAAGCCATCTGAGCCCTAAGCCGTAAACCCCATCTAAACCTTGAGGCCTGGGCTTCTTGCGAGTTCCGTCTTCAGGGCTATATCAAATTATATCCCGGAGAGTCCATGTACCCAAATGGTATAATATACATTGGCCCCAATTTACTTATGTCGAGACTACTTTAAGGCCAAAGTATTTATAGGGTACATGGACCTCTATACCCTAAACCCTTGTAAAATGTTTATAGATCCCTTAAAGGATCCCCTAAAAGAGACCCCTTAAAGGAGGTAATGTAGGACCCTGATTAAGAAACCCTGGGCCTCTAACCCCAAAATATTATAGGATTCATATAAGGAACCCGAATGCAAGCCCCAGGTTTCTAACGAGGTTCCTACACCAAGCCCCCCAAAAACCTTGATAGTACCCTTATACTACCCTTTAAAGGAACCCTCATGGTTCCTACATTACACGGACCCTTGGGGTATCTTTCCATGTACCTGGGGGTCTTTCTGCTGCCTGGAGCCTGTTCGGAGCTCCTTTTGATAGTTTACTTAGGCTTTAGGGTTGAGGGCTTAGGGTTTAGGGATTTAGAGTTTAGGGGTTTAGTGGTTTAGGGGTTAGGGTACTTCTTTTAAGGGCTTCGGGTTAAGACTGCCACCGTTTTTTTGTTGCTGGGGGTTTATTCATACATACTTCCTCGTGACTTTTTACTACTTTCCCTCTGCTTCACAATGATTCGACCCAGGTTAGGAATCTGTAAGGGTTCCTTTACAGGGTACTACAAGGGTACTAAAAGGGGATCTATTTCTTCGGAAGGAAAGGTTTCGAGACTTCAGGTGGGGCTTAGGGCAGGCGGAGGGTTTTGCAGAACTTGCCGGCGTCTGACCGCTAGTCCAAGGATTGAGGCTGATTAAGGTCTCAATCTTCAACCCTGTCAAACCTGGCAGCACCCCATACTGCCGTTGTAGCACCCCAGAATACCCCAGACACTGTATGGGTAGTTGTCAAAATTAGGGCCCCTTTTCTGGGTACCCTAAATAATAGGTGCCGTACTATAATAGGGACCCAAAAAGGGACAACGTGAAGCCGCTATGAGCATGAGTTTAAGCTTCTGCATGGGTTTAGGGGTTAGGGCGTTGCTATCGAGATTCCTATGGTAGGGCTTCAGATCATTATTATAATCGTGAGCCCTTTAAATCCCAACTTCCCGAAAACCCTTACTCCCGAATCATCTTGCCGATAAGACTAAACCTTAACATATTGGCAAAGCTCTCCAAATCCCTACTAATGGTACGTAATTCCGTGCAAGCCTCATGTAGTGTTCTGCTACGCCGTTGTCACAAGACATTCCTCCGGTGTGAGCTTCGTTTCGTCGTACAGGTTGCAAGAGCGATCTTAGATGTATCTGCAAGCGTTACGAAAGCCATACAACCCTCCAAACCCTAAGGGTCCATGTACCTAAATATATACATTGGCCTTAAAGTAGTCCCTCTCTGGGTACATTTGTCCCAAAGTATATACTATTTGGGTACATGGACCCTTACGGAAATAAACCCTAAACCCCCAACCCCTAAACCCTAAACCCCATAGAGCTCTCCAAATACCGGCAAAAGTTTTCTCTCCAGGCGCAGGTTCCGCACCGTGCGGCAGAAGAAGAACCAAGTCCACTTCAATCAGAGACTTGAGCTGCATCCTTTGCAGGGCCGCCCCGTAGTAGGACATATTCTGGGCTTTGGAGTACCATACTTTAATTAATACTTTTTTCTTAATGGAACCATTATGAACTAAGAATTCGAGCCTTACAAATAAAACCCTATAACCTTTCATCCATAAACGAGCACTAAAACTGCTTCGGGCTCAGCTTTCCAGGTTAGGGATTTCGGAGCTTTGGGTTAAGGGCCGGGGTTTCCTTGTTTTGGGTCTCCTAGCAAGGACGGGGTGAGGTCGGTTCTTGACGTCACGATGTGGTGCTCATGACGGACTCGGCACGGGCGGAGCTCGACCTGTGGGCTCTGCTCATAGGAGGCCAAAAGGGGTTTTAGCCTATGGGGGTGTAGAACCTTCTGGTTCCGACTGTGGGCGCTCTCGGGCAAGGGTTTATGCTGTTGAAGCACCAAGCATCGACGAGAGGCTCTGACCGATTGTTTTACACGCAAAGACCTCAGTGCGACTGGCTTCTGCTGATTATGGCTTAAAGCCCTTTGCTGGCTTCTGCCGATCTTGATAGCTAGGCTGGCCTATACATGTTGCTTCAGCCTAACTCGCAGGGCCATTGATTGGCTCGATTGAGCCATCCGCTGGCAAACAAGAGCTTACACTGCATGCAGCCCATCGACTGATCAACCCTGGCTTTCGGGAATCTATACTCCTCCTTGGTGTTCTCGATAGGGAGACACCACATTGATGCCAGGGCGGCTCCAAAATGGTAGCCTCATTTCAGTCGCTGCTTTAATAGATTCGATTGCCGCCATTCTCCAGGCAACATCGGCATAGGGTCACCCTTTGCACATGTCCAGCATTCCGTAGACCCCAGCACTCCCGGAAGATATGTAGGTGATCTCTTCCAGGGACCTGGTAAAAGGGCCCCGAGATTACTTCTCGCCGCGGCGGTGGTTGTGGCTGTACCCTCGTAAAAACCGGCTCGTAGTCGGCCTGCGTGGCTTGATCTCTGGTTTCCTTTGGCTTGGGCTGCTTATTCCGACCAACCACAGGTGTAGTAGATGAAGAGGCCGAATCTCCAAGTGGAACTTCTGGTAGGCATTCCGAGGGTGAACATCTGGGCATCGGAGAACATCCTTCGGGCATGGTGTCATCAAACTTTTCCTTCAAGTCAAACATCCTCTCCTTTTGCTCTTTAGTGAGGTCGGATGGACTGATTGAGAGTAGAACTTGAAGTTCTTTCAACTCATTCCTTGTGAGATTTCCCTTTGTGGCTCTTGAAGCCTTCATCCTCAAAGCCTTGACCTTTGGTTCAGAGCTCCGGACGCAGCTCTTCAATCCTTCCCAGAGTCCAATGATTGCAACTCCAAGGATCAACACCACCAGGTACAAGTCCCAGGGAATTTCTGGTTGTAACTCCTGCTTCTGTGCCCATGTTCCACAAACTTGACATAGGAGAAGTAGACGCTGTAGCCATGTGCCCTCATTCCCAAACGTTCTTACTGTCCTTATTTCAACATCTGGTCGCCGATCATGTAGATTCCATAAGGCTACCAGTTGCCGTAGACGTTCTTTGGTAAAGGGCTTGGTTCCCAAATCTGCCCGTTGGTACTGACCTGGGCAAAACAGGATGTCAATCTCCTTGCGATGGTGCATTTCCCTCACCCAATTACTGCGAAGGCGTAGATGCCTTGTTCTCCAGCTCCCTGATGATGTAGTCAGGAGAGCAACAGCAGCCTTGTTGTCAACATATAGCCACAGAGGAACTTCTTCTCCTTTGAGTTCATTGATAAGACACCTAGTAGAAAGGCCCATCAAAGTTCCTTCCACGGCCTCAACCAGCTCTGATTCCGCCGTTGACAAAGTAGTTAGCGGCTGCCTTGACGCCCTCCAGCTTAAAGGGTTGTTCCCGTAGAAGATCGCAACCGCTCCATGTGACCTTCCTCCACTGGGAGAGAAAGAGCTGTCGGTGTAGACGCTTACAGCTTCGACGCTCTCCTCCTCATCCTGGGTGAAGGATAACCTGTAGTACTTTGTTTCCGAGAGATAGTCCAGGAGCCGCCTTCCAACCACGTTCACCATTCCAGGCGACCTTGTAATTCTCGAAGCCATTATCGAAACAGTGTGTTGAATATCCGGTCTTGTACGACCCACAAGCCACAACAACTCGCCAACACGTTTTTGTGCTTCTTTCACTTCTGGGTCCTTAGGGTCTACATTGCTGGGCTCCGCATCGATAAGCGCTCGTTCCTCCTCCTCGGTCAAGAGAAGAGTTTCTCTCGGACCTTGGGAGTATGAACGTCCTCCCTCGTGATGGTAGGATCTGAGAATCTCGTTGACGAAGCCTTCCTGGGCCAACTCTACACCTCCTTGAACTTTATGAAGCTCCATGCCCAAAAACCGGATGGGGTGGTTGTAGTCAAGAACGTCCAAATCGTCAACCTCCCATTTTGCTGATACCCACTTGAAGAAGCCTTCCATGGCCTCCTCCTGAGCATGGATTAGGAGGTCGTCTATGTAGACAAGAACGTAGCCGTAGACCTCACCGCCATGCTCCGGTATGATCTTCCATACTTGATTGTCGGAGACCAACTGTTCCAACTTCATCTTCACTTCTTGGCCATTGATGTTGACTATCCAGCGAGCAAGCTTCAACTGTTCATCTCTAAACATTGACCAAAGGGCTGGGGATTCGCGCAAACCATACAAAGCTTGCTGCACGAACCATACATCTCCTGGAACTGCTAAGCCGAGCAAATATGCTATTCCCGGCGGTTCCAAAGCCACTGGCTCCCCTCGCCACCTCGCAAGAACGAAAGCCTGGCGCACATCTGTGGTTCCAATCCGCCACGGTTTCTTTGCATTGTAGGCTAACATGGTCCGAAGCGAAGTAGCATCCAGCCCGGCAGCAAAAAGATCCATAGTAGCAGACTCTTCAGAGATGTAATTTCCACACGCCACAAACCTTGTTTTCCTTCTGTAGCCCGGTGGACCTTTGTCTGGTTTCACTGTGTAAACCCCTTTACAGGGCACTATGCGGCAGTTCGCTGGTAGCTCATGCCGCTTCATCACCTTGAAAGCCTGCTTGGACTTCGTCAGGTTGTTGAACTCCTTCAAGGCAGACTGCTTCCATTTTTCAAGGTTACTCTTGACATCAGCAAGGCTCACGGTGTGGGTGACCTCCAGCTGTCCTCCCTTGGCCTCAATGTCTTCCAAGATTTGTTCGATGTTTGGAGTATACTGAACCTCGGCCTTCTTTATCATCTTCTTAACATGGACCATATCATGAAGCGCAGCATTGGGAGGATCACCAGGGGGTAGCTGAAGAGAATTGTCACCGCTTTCACCCTTGAGCAGCTCATTGTTCTCAAGCTCCACAAAAGCAACTGCCCCATCCACATTCTCCTCTGCCTTCATCATTTTGACCTTAGCAGCAGGTAGCGGGATGGGAAACTCAGCAATCTTCTCCTCATCACCCTCTTCTTCACCATCTGGTAGTAGGGAGTCACGATCAACGGGAAAACCGGCTTCTTCCAACGATTCAACATTTTCAGAGGGAAGCCTCGTAGCCCTCGGAGTGTAAAGAAGCAACACCATACGCTCACCTTCCCATGGTTGTACTTCATGCCACAGGCGCGGGGAAAAACACACAGGGATGCCTTTGTGCATTTCATGCAGCTTCCCATACACCACTTTCCCATTGGATAAAGTCCTCTCTTCACCTTCACGGTCCTCATCATTCTCATTTTGAACCCATAGCGAACCCTTCTCAAAGGCTTGAAGAGGGATCACATAGTTCTTGGAGTGCTTGTAGTTATGGGAATCTCGGTGTAGGCCCAGCTGTGCATTCTTGGCCAGTCCAATGGCCGAAAACTTCACATCTCCACAGCATTTCTTTGCCACGCCCACAAGGTATTTGGTAGTGTAAGGGAATTCCTTCAGGTTGTTCCGAATCCCAGCCACTCCACCATGGACAAAGGCTCCAGTATACCATGAAGAAAACGGTGACTTTGCCTTGATCCTTTGATCCGTGTCTCCCATAATCTCGAGGGTCTTAAACAACTCTGCCGCCTTGTTGATATCGAAGTTCTCCTCCTCGAGCAGCATGCGGGATCTAAACTCAACCTCATCTCTGAGTTCACCCTTTGTAGGAGGTTCCGGCGAAATAAGAAGTTCATCAGGAAGTCCATCTGCAACCGACGGTGGCACAAGATCTTTCATCTCCTTCGTGGGGTCCCAAACATTGAGCTTGACACTTTTCGCGACCGTTAGTCCTCCATCTTCTCGAACAATCAAGTGTCCTCTCTTAACATCCATTGCAGGACCTCGGTACCAACCACGCTTCCACCTCATGCCTGCCGCCTCGTGCTTCTTCTCCGACTTGCCTTGGTAGTACTTCGCTCTGAACCAAACTTCGCTTCCAAAAGCCGTGGCCGGTGGTGAAGACCATGGGCTGTCTGGAAATGCCTTCGCCCACAGGTCCAACGAAGCATGGCTTATTGCCATTGGCCAATCTCGGGGAGGGGCCTTTGCAGCAACCAAGAGAGCCCGTACACGAGCCTTTGCCCACTTGATTCCCAACTCTGCTGAGCTATTACCTGCAGGATCACCGCCCGCCGTCTTGGTATGTCTTAGCTGGGCCTCAACTGTCCAGTCCTTGAACAACTTGGCCTTGAACTCGCGCGCCCTGTCCGTATGAACAGTGCTCACATGTAGTCCAGACTGTCTCAGTTGCAGCACGATTTCTTTAGCTGCTTGAGCCGCATACTGGGTGGTCCTCCTCCTCATTGGCCTTGTCACATAGATTGTGGTCCATTCTTCTTGTTCAAGAAGGCCTTCAACCGCATCATCCAACGTTTCTGGGCCACATGGTTCGCCACGTTCTTCCTCAGACTCAGCTTCCTTCTCAACTTCTTCCTCCGACAAAGCCATTGGATCGTCACCTCCACATTCTTCGGGCTCGTCGGGCACATAGAGCTCTGAGTCCAGGTAGGCCAAAGCCTTTTCGTTGAGGTACTCCTTTGGGCACCTGTAGGCAGCAACCATGAGGTACTTGTAATCTTCGTGATCCATATCCCTTCCCTTCTGTTTGAAGGGACCGGCCAAATCAAGCGCGACGGTGTACATGGAAGGATGCCGTCGGCGTCGATGTTGATAGCCCGTAGCCTGAGCATTGATGCAAACAGCACAATCGGCTCTATAAGGTTGGTGGTCGTTAAGTAGATGACGTTGCCACGACTCTCGTTGCTCCTTAGTGAGCTTGGTCAGCTTCACACCCAACTCCGCCAACTCTTCTTCATTGCATTGGCGGTCAACTTGATAGTCACACACCGCATTCGCCACCATGGCCTTGAAAGGATACGACCAATTTCTCATTTCTTCATGGCTCAACAACGAAGGCGGAACACACCCATCATGGAAGTCGTAGATATTGTCGATCTGGCATAAGCTAGGATAGGTGGTAGCCATTGTCGTAGGTCTTTTGGCCTTGTGCCCATACGCGCCCATGTAGAAGGAGACCTTAGTCATGCCCGCTATGGACTTGAAGGACTTCCACAACTCAGTTTCCCAAGGGGACGCCCGCACTGGATCATCGTCTCGTAGTCGTTCTTCATCGGACGGAAAATCCATCAGGAAGCCCACATTTCCTTGGCCACAAAGCTGAGCCATAGTCCACAACAACATTGGCCTCGCCATAGCCGCAGTCTCCTTACTCACCTCCTGCCTTTGCCAGGTCGCAAGTCCCGTGATCCCGTAGGGCTCCTTCGTTGATCTCACCGGATAAGAGCTCGGTCCTCTCCTCGGCGCAAGAGAGTTGGGCCAAGATCCACATGGAGGAGTCGCCAACACATCCGAAATCCTTCCCGTAGACGCTGCCCACAAAAGCAATGAGTAAACTCCTTCCTCGCGATCAGGATCCCATAACTTGGACTGAGCCATGTCAATCTGGAGAAGGGCCTTTCCTGAAAGCGGGATGGCCTCGAAGGGGTCATGCTTGAAGCGTTGGCAAACGAAGTCATACTCACAACCCAACTTTTAGAACTCATCAACATCTTTCGCTTTCTCCTGGTAAGAGGCAAAGATTTCAAATACCTCTCACCACCCGTAGGATCGAAGCTCCGTAGTAACAGCGACTGAACATCGGCCGGCAGGTCCTTGGTGAAGGGGCACAACAAGAGAGTTCTCAACAAAGTTGCCCTCGAACCTGTGCGAGAAAACTCCCGCATTAGCTCGGTCCAGTCCCGCTTTTCCTCCTTCTTCATCACCTCCAACCTTGCACGCAACGACTCCACATGAGTGTTCAAGTCCCTCACCTGGGACATCTCCAGCTCCTGGATCAGGTTCAAAGCATCGCACGCAGCCACCTCAGGACAGTGGTTCTTGATTTTGACCTTCACGCTCCTTCGCGAAGGATGCGTAAGACGTAGGTTTCGAGGGCTCCAGTGCAACGTGTAGCCAAGATTCTCTATGACCGCACCAAGTGGCACTATTGGTTGCACCTGAGTTTCCTCCTCCTGAACCAAGATTGTCCCTTGTGGGTTCTGACGTAGAACTCGAACATCTTCTCCTGCAAGCGTAACCCTTACTGGTTCACCGCGTTGGTACTCTTCTCCCTTTGCAGGCCTCATTGGATGACTTGCTCCACTATCCAGCAAGCCCGTGCCACCTTCATCCTCAGAAACCTCCAACGCTGCCACCTTTGGTTGGTCAGGTGGAACTTCTGGTTCCGGTTGTGGTTCCACGCTTTGCGTCTCCTCCTTGCCATTCACCGCGAACTTCTTGATAGACGAAGCATGCATGGCCTTGAGGATCTTTCCAACATCCGAAAGCACTTCCTTTAAGTCCACCGGGGCAGCATCTCCCTTTGGTTCCGCGCTCCTTCCCTCTATATTCTCAACCTCCGGTTTGTCGTCGATTCGCACCGTCTTTGTTGCCGGGGGCGTTGTAGTAGAAGAGGTTGAGGATTGCGGCCTCGGTGTCGATGGTTGCCCCTTTGCTTCTGGTGTTCCAGATCCTCCTCCGGGTGTTCCTGGAGGCTTCTTGTTCGGGCAATCCTTGACCATATGTTTCCCGCCGCAAGCCAAGCATCTTGAGCTTCGCTCCTTCTCCAAGCCCTCCCACGAGTGAAGAAACGGGCACTTTCCAACTCGAGCGCACCCCTTATAGGTCTTGCCGAAGAACTTGCAAGGCGTCTCCTTCCGCTTGTCCCTCTCCTCTTCTCCACCTGAGTTCGAAGCATTGGTTGTAGTGGTTCTTGTTGGGGCAGAGGGTGTTGAAGGCGGTGTGGTAGTAGTTCTCGTTTCCGTCTTCATCGGCCTCAGCTTTGGCTCCGGTCGAGTAGGTGGGGTTGTAGTGGTTCCGGTCATCACTGGAATCGCCGTTGCTAAGGACTCACATTCACCCATTAAGTGCTTGTAGTACTTCTCGACATTGTCCATTGTGGGGTTCGAGTCGATCTTCAAATTGGAACGGACCAAGTTTGTTCTGAAGCTAGCCTCACTGTTCTTGTCAAGTACTCCACGAACAAGAGCATGAAGTCCTCGAACAAGTAGGCTTGGGTCAGGAACCTGTAAGTTGAGCTCTCTGCACCTTCTCAGCCATCTGTTCCACGCACGAAGGCTCTCAACGGCCTTTGGGGGCTCATTCTCCCTCGGAGGGTTCTGTAGCTGTTGGAGAGTGCGGTATTTTTCTTCTTCACCGCCAGGTTGGTAAAGCGTGAGAAGCCTGAAGATTATGGAGGTCACCGAACCCGTCATCCGCCTTGAAACCAACTCCGACCGGATCGACTCATCAAGGGCCGTCAGGATCATGCTTGCCGCCCGGGAATTCACACGGGGCCATTTTCCTTCTTCAAGTTCTCCTCCTGAAGCTGGTACCACACCGAGACGCTCAATAGGCCCTGAGACAACCCACAAGTCGTAGGCCTCTTTCGAAGATGCTCGCACTTGCTTCCACCAGGACGCGCTCCCATCTGAAAGATCACTCATTGGAGACTCTATCAGCTCCAGCCAATCCAACAGGTCCACGCTTGAGGACTCCGATCTCACCGGAGGCAAAACCGGAAGGGTGCTTGTCCCCGGCTTCACGGTTTCCGGAGTTCTCTCACCACTCTTGTCAGCAGACATCTGTTTCAACATAGCAGCTTGAAGTTGCGCCACACCACCTGCTATCAAAGTCATTGCATCTGTAGAGGGTGCCGATCCCAACCACTGCTGTGCCGTTGGCGCCTCCGTTGAAGGTCTTGGGTCGTGGGGTCCGCCGTGCCCAGATCCTTCCATCGATTGAGCTTGTTCTTGCTCTTTACGGGTAGACTGTCCAGACTCTTGACCACGTGCTTGACTCACAAAAGGACCAGACTCTTGACCACGTGCTTGACTATCATTTTCAAAAAGACCACGAGGTTGATGTTGAGGATTCCCTCGGGGTACAGTTGGATCATCAGGCCTCTGACTGCTGCCTAACAACCCGCTTTCTCCTTGTCCCAATGCTCTGGTATCTTCGATTCCCACACGCTCCGTACTGAGTCCTTGATCACCCGCTTGTACGTTAACAGGATCACTGACAGGAACAGCACGGCCTTGAACAGCTGAGAGAGGATCACATGGTGGTACGTTAGAAGCTCCAGGTATCTGCGGAGGATGCCTTTCAGGTTGATGTTGAGGATTCCCTTGGGGTACCGTAGGATCAGGGCATAGGCTTCGGGTTTCTCCTTGCTGTTGCTGCCATAGCCGACGTTCAGCTCTTAGGACTTCCACTTCTTGTAAGAGACCTTGTAGCTGAGCCTGGTACCGTACATTGTACTCCTCCAACTGTCTTTGCACTTCCGCTTGTAACCGGGAGGACCGATCACTTTCTCCCTCTGAAGCTGCTTGGTAGCCATAGAGCTGAGGGTAGTCTCTTTGAGATTGTCGAAGCTGAGCAACCTGAGCAGGACCAAAAAGAGGCACATTCTGCTGTTGATTGCTCGCCCAGGACAAAGGAACCGGAGGTGCTGCTTGTTCTTGGTGCTCAGGTAGCGGTTCTGGTGGGGAGAATCTCAACGGGGAGTTCAAAGATCGCTGCATTCTTGGGTCTGAAGGAAGCATACTCACACCTTGATGCGTGAATCCCAAGTTGTCCAGAAACCTGTCCACTCCCGTGACCCCTCGTGTCGCCGTAGTCCTCAAGAACTCAGTGAACCTAGCCATCCACCGTACATTTCCATGATCTGCTCCCTGAACTCCATCACCTTGCTCAGCCGAGTAGAACTCTTGCACTCTCACGGCCGATCTCGTAGGCGTCGCCGCAGGCCTTGGCTCCCTGCGGACTGGCGTGGAAACACCTGGTTCATGGGCTCCCGTAGTTATAACGTTCGCGCCCGTATCCGGTAGATTTCCATAAGGCGGTTCCGCTGTTCCCAGAAACATCTGTCCAGACGCCGGATCTCTTGCAGTAGACTGACGAGGCACTCCCGGGTTCGGGTCATGAACATTCGGATTTTCCGAGAACACACCACTTTCTCCAGGATTGTTACTCGCTCTCTCTGTTGCAGAAACACCATTCATCTGAACGTTCTGAGCGGGAACTCCATCTCGCACACCAGACCCTCGCGGCTCCGCACCTTCTGCGCTGGCAGCTTGGGCGCTCATAACCTGTAGAACCTTCTGGTTCCGACTGTGGGCGCTCTCGGGCAAGGGTTTATGCTGTTGAAGCACCAAGCATCGACGAGAGGCTCTAACCGATTGTTTTACACGCAAAGACCTCAGTGCGACTGGCTTCTGCTGATTATGGCTTAAAGCCCTTTGCTGGCTTCGGCCGATCTTGATAGCTAGGCTGGCCTATACATGTTGCTTCAGCCTAACTCGCAGGGCCATTGATTGGCTCGATTGAGCCATCCGCTGGCAAACAAGAGCTTACACTGCATGCAGCCCATCGACTGATCAACCCTGGCTTTCGGGAATCTATAGGGGGTTAGGGATCCCTAGGGTTCCTTTAAAGGGATCTATAGGGGTTCCTTTAAAGGGATCTATAAGGGTATCATCGGAGGCCAAAAGGGATTTTAGCCTATGGGGGTTTAGTAGGGATTAGGGTTCCCATAATAGGGTTTCAGATTGAGGAATCCCGACCCCAAGAATCTTAAAGCCCCCTTTTTGGCCTCCCATCATCTGCGACTTGCAAAGACGCTCTATGGCCGACCTTAGATTTTAATACGCAGCTCGACGAGGAGAGGGGCCCCGGGCCGTGTTTCTTCGCGGATTTGGGGCAGCACCGTGCCCAGCGCGAGGTGCTTCCCCCATATGCTAGATCTGCCTCCGTGGCTAAACGGCTAAACACCATTATCCTTCCTTGGCAGGTTCTAGAAGTGTGGTTTGATACGGGTTCTGCAAGAGTATTCCACGGTGTTCTAGGCGGGTCTCAGGATTAGATAAGGGCTGCAGGGTTGCAATGCACGATCTCATAGACGTCTCTACAGCAAGAGGGCTCTCCGAATCCTTATGAGGAGGTGCACGCTCGTGATCGACAGCAGCGAACCCCTGTGAGGTTCCGAATTACCTCGCTAGCCTTGTCTGAAACCGTCATAAACTAACACCTTTGCATAGGGTCCTTTCATTTCTGAAAACTACGAACTTACGAAGACTTATGTTGGCAGTGTAAGGTGGTGCTTCGAGGCTTTCCACAAAGCCCTCCGCGCACCCTGAAGCTCTGGGTTCAAGGCGCTTCCTCGATCCGAATCCGTAAACATCCTGAAGCCCTTTCAAGCCAAGCCTCAAAGCCGAAAAGAGTAATTCAGTGGATATACCGTGATATACTGTAGACTTACAAACAGTAGCGGAGTCCTGAAGTTGATTGCAGTTGTGCGTGCGTGTGTGCGCATGTGTGTGTGTATACTATATATATATATATATATATACACACACATATAAACACATATGTAGGCATCCCTAAAACCTTAAAATCTGACACCCGAAGCCCCTCAAGGCACATTCTGTTCTTTTCCCGGACCTGTAAAAAGGGAAGCCTTAAACGGGAGCCCTTAAAGGACCCCCTCAAAAGGAATCTAGTACAGAACCCTTTAGTCCCCCTCAAAGGGGGAACCCTTAAAGGTTTCCCTTAAAGGAACCCTTCAAGGACCTCCTTATAAAGGAGCCCTTAAAGGTATTCTTTCGCGTTGGGCTGGGCTCTCCGGGGTTCTGCCAAGGACCGATACTCCCGAGGAGCGAGAGCTGGAAGTTGCGGGCATCTTGAGACTGCTGCAGGAGAGGTTTAGGGGAGTTCCGGGTTCAGTGGTTTAGGGCTTAGGGAGTTTAGGGTTCAGGGGTTTAGGGAGTTTAGGGTTCAGGGGTTTAGGGAGTTTAGGGGTCTGGGCTTTAGGGTTTAGGGTTTGGGGTTTGTGAACCGTGGGATGTCCCGGTGGGTTTCTTCAGGTGCCTGTGGGATTTTTCGGCGGGTTTGACCATGGGTGATTATGGTTCAGATGGGGTTATTTAGGATGGTCCAGGATGTTTCGTTCAGTTTATGTTGTGGCGCTTGTGGTGTTTTGCTTCCTTCGTTCAGAAGAAGCATCGTGGTCGACATTCGCTGGATTTGTAGAAGGTTGTTTGTCGGTGCTGCAGCAGATGTAAACGGCTTCACGAATGTTGTGAGATAACTTTGAAGTGGTTTCGTTGTCAAACCATGGTTCAAATCTCTGAAGCCGAAACCTTAACCCATGCCCTCACCGGACCAGGCAAAAGGGTCAAGCTAAAATCGTAACCCCCCCCCCCCCGGCTGCGAAGCCTTTTCGCATGAGGTGCAAAAACAGAACAGGCGAGAACCGAAACCCTGAAGGGCCAGATATGCGGAACTGACCAATCCTGAACTGGAGTCCTTCCCTAACCGCTGAACTCTTAGGCCATTTACAGTGTAAGCCGTAAGAACGGCTGGACCTCTGCAGAAAAAGGCCCCATTGCACTTTAAAAAAAAAAAGAACTCTTAGGCCCTAGACCTCAGCCTCCAAATGAATCTGCATCTGTTCAAACAGCCAAGGCTCCTTCGTCATATACTAAACTGTAAATTGTAAACCCTAAACCCTCGAGCCGTCTATGCCTGGCAGCCAGGACTTGAAATACCTGCCGGACTCGGATGAGGCTCAGTAACTTTACCGAGTCCCTCATAGTGACTTACGAGGCTGATTCGGTCCTTTATCGGTTCCGTTATGGGTTCTAAGCAGGGTTTGCTCCGCATTATATATATATATATATATATATATATATATATATACATATATATATATATATATATATACTGTAGAGCTGTAGCTCGGAAAAGGTGTGTACTTCTTTCCCGTGCATGTCCTCGACATGTTACTGTAGATGTGGAAAGCTTGAAGGAGGCCTTGCCAAACCTGGTCAAGCCCAAACCCCAGACTCCATAAACCAAACACCTGATTAAACCCTGAACCACTCAACCTGTGTAAAGCCAAAGCTCCTAGACCCTACTGTAAGAGCGATCTCAGATCAAACGGAACTGCTGAGAACCATAGGCACTTCGATGTCTGTTCTCGGTGCGTAAGAGCCATGCTATCTTCCCCACGCTCTCCGAAGCCCTGCAAGCCAGGCCTCATGGCCTAAACCACACAAACCCTATCCCCTTGGACTTGCGGAGAAAAGGGCATTACACATTACAAAAGAATCCTAACGTAAAGAGTTACCGTCATTTATGTGCAGCCAATCCAATCCAGAGGCCCCAAAGGCACCAAACCGTGTATCCCGACCCCAAAGCACACAAGAAATTAGCTCTAAGCCCCAATACCCTCAGCCCGAGGCCTTGCAGAAAATCCCGAAGCCCGAAGCCCCAAATCGTAAAGTCTTCAACCGGCAGGAGAAAATCAAAATGACATAGGCTTTAGGGGTTAACCGCCTTGAACGTTCAGGATTCAGGGCAGTGTAGGGTTGAAACCCCTGAACCCCAAAAGACCTCAAAACCTGCTTGGGAGAAAGCCTCGCAAGACAGGCGCGCTCCGATTTTGGCCGCTGGCTTCTCTCCACCGTTCGCAGCAAGACCGAGCAGAAGGAGGTCGGTCCTCCGAAAAGGTTGCAGGTTGGCGGAGTCTTACACGGCTTTCTGTAGGGTTTGTAACAAAATGTAAGTAAAGTAACTGTTTAAATTCTCGGGTTTATCCATAGAACACAAACACCAGACAAAAGACGCAACCACAGAAGACCTCAAGAAGGAAGGAGAAGACGTCAACTCGTCCTACCAGGACCCCTCGCAGGGCCTCAAGGGGCTCTCGGCGCTGAAGCGTTCCAGCACTTCGGCAGCCCCCAAGGCAGAGGCGCGGCCTTCCGCGGGTAATACAGGGGCCCTGGTGAGTAGTGTTGGTCCTTCGGATCGGGGGTAGGGGGGGGGGGTTATTTAAGCAAACTGTTGCGTCTAGGGAATGGTATAAGTCGTGGTCCAGACTTCTATAATTATCAGGCTCATGGCTTCGTTCAGGGAACCTTAGCTGCACGCACTCCCCTACCTGCCCTCTATTGTAGCACAGGTGCCCACGAGTCAGGACCACAGGGGATCTGTTGTTAGGGATTTTCTTGGGGTTGTGTATGCAAACACCAGACTTGGGCTTTTCGCTCTTTGAGGTGCCGCAACAGGTTTCTGAGAAAGTTGCTTAGACTTGAGGTGCCATGGTGGGATTGGTAAGGCTGTAAGGGGTTAGAGCTACAATAGGATGCATACGGCTGATGATATAAATCCAGCATTACCTTAAGGACCCTAAACTATGGGAACTATGGTATATTCCTTATTTTTGTTAATGCAGGACTTATATCATCAACCGCAGCATGGTTGCATGACGGTGTCTCCAGGCTCTTGTTCAGCGAACTTGCTTAAGTTACAATTTTGAAGTGGTATATACGGTCAGCCCAAAGGGTCCATGTACCCAACTACTATATACTTTGGAATTCAAGTACTTCCAACATAGGTACATTGGTCCCAAAGCATATACTGTTTTGATACGATTTGGGTACATGGACCCTTTGGGTTAAGGGTTCGGCTTCACAAACAATTTGCCTTCGAGTGGTTCAAGGTTCAGTTGAAAAAGCAACCTGGCTCAACTTCTGGGCAGGTCTTCTAGGCTTGTGTTGAGGAAGGCCCTGGTAGGGTTTAGGGCTTGGAAGAGTGCTTCGAGGGTTCATTTTCTCACCTTTGGTTAGTAGGGAATGGAGGAATGGGGTAGAATTATAACTACTACTACTACTACTACTACTACTACTACTACTACTACTACTACTACTACTACTACTACTACTACTACTACTACTACTAGCATTCTCTACTAAACATAGGTAAGTTGATGCATTCAGGGTTTGCGCCCTTGAAGGGCCTTGAAGGGTCCGTGCTTTTTGCGGCAGGTATGTTGAGGGGCTTTCAGATGGGCATTAAGGAGCCTTGTCCGCTTTGACACAGGGAATGCACTGAATGTTGTACCCTCGAACCAGCACTCTAGAAACTACAGCCCTGCAAGTGTCTTATGAAACCCCGGCCTCAATCGCAACTTCCATCCGCCATTTCAGGCGCTGCTGCCCCAACCCACAAAGCGAACAACGCGCACCAGGCTTCATGGAGCTTGCTTTACTCTGGGACTAAGTAGCTTTAGTTGTGGCATGAAATT